CTAATCTCTAACTCCCACTAAAGCCTGGGGCCATGCTGAAACTTCAGGTTCATCTAGCTCCAAAGCATTTAATCTTGTAATTAATCACTGCCTCCACACCCAATTTCCCTGACCATTGTTCTGAAGGGGAATGTGCATGGTACAGTTTTCTTCCTCTGGCAATTTAGAATTCTTTTATTCATAGACTTTAACATGTTTAATTTAGACTTTAATATTTTACAGATTGACTTTATGGAGGTTTTTTTAAAGCAGCTTTGTTTAAAACGCTATTCATTCTCAAATACCTAAATAAATGGTGGTTCACCAAATAAGCCACAAGCCAGATTGTAAGCAGGAGTTTCTCCCGCTGGCCGAGGGACTCACAGAGCAGCATGGCAGGCTAATTGGATGTAGATTCAAACCAAGGACCTGAATTCAAAACAAGAGGCCTGATCCAGGTACATGAACAAATCCGCTGGCAAGATCTGTCCCCATACAAGCAGTACCAGTCAACGCAGAAGTTACAACAAGCACACCTGGAGAAGAGGCAAAGGCAGGGTTCCCAGGAAGCACTAGGCCTGCCCTACCTCTGGAAGCAGTCAGGTGCAGTGCTTAAGGTGACATTTGACTTCCTAAATACATCCCTGCTTGGCTACGTCCCAGCTGAGAACCCTAGAGCAACTTCTAGACTTCCCTGTGCCTCGGTTTCCACATCCATAAAATGGGAATGTCAGGGGTTGGTACTAGGATTACATGAATCATACCAGACACATAAAAAGCACTCAGTAAATGCCAGCCGATTTTATTACATGCGTTTAGATGTTTCCCTTTCTGGAGCAGTATTTTTAAAACTGCAGGCCACAGTCCAAAAATGTGTTATGAAATCAATCTAGAAGGTCACAACCAGCATCTGGGAAAGGAAATAGAACGATACCGGACGTAAACATTAGGAAAGTCTCATTTTATGTTCCTTTTGTAATTTTTTTTTTCCTTCGGCACACGTCGTGACATTAGCTGGCGCTTTGTGGATCTGCTCTCACACGCCCACGTGTCTGTGTGTGTATCAGGCAGCAGGCGAAAGAAAGGTTGTTGCTTCTATGAGTCACCATCAAAAAAACTGCAAAATACCGATTACCAGCGTGAGGATGGTAGGCAGCCAGGGAAGATGAAAAGGTGTAACGAGGCCAGGAACCACTTTTTAAAATGTAGACAGCAAAGGGAAATCCCTTCTAAGTGTGCAGTCAGGGCAGCGACCCAGCAAACACCCTCGGTGCACAGATCTGTGCGTGGGGAGTCTGCCCGCACGCAGCATTTCGCTATTCTGAGGTTATACACAGCCCTTTCCCCACCACCCCCCGCAAGGCAAATGGAATTGCATAACCGGAAGTACAGATGTCATCTTGACCCTGGGCAAGATGGGGATCAAAACTGATACGACTTATCCAGGAAGTCATCTTGCAATGCTTGTCCACAACACAGGCACTATCAGATTTCAAACGCTCCTGAAAGCCCACCAGGGTTTGGAAGAGATAGGAGAATGTCTTAAAACAGAAAGTCTTAAATGTGGATATAGATTTAAACTAACAGTGCCATTACAACCAAATTCCTAGGTGAAAATTGAACTACCTGTACAAGAAGATGAAATGGAAAATAACTATAAACACATAGCAAAGTGTTTTAGAAGCTATAAAAGCATTTCGGAAGCTATAAAAAGCTGTGAGATAAGGGTGAAACCATACGCCTTTGGCTGGGTAATGGGGGCCAGAGTCTGGGCCACACCCATTTTCCTGAAGAGTTCCTGGAACCAAATGGGCCTCCCTAGCCAAGACGGGTGTTCTTCCATCTTGCTTTAGGCTATATTCCAGGTCCTCAGATGCCCAGATCAAATACCCAGCCACTTCCAGGGTATGAACTGGCTACTCCTAGATTTCCCAGTGCAGGACTTGGCCACTAGTCTGAGCCAAAGGCATGGTTAAGGGATGGCTGAGGGTGTGGACAACAATTGGACGTGCACATGGACACTATACCCCTTACCAGGTGGGACTGCACCAGGCGTGGGAAGCAGACCCCAGACCCAGGGCATATTCTCCCAACCACAATATAGCTCTGAGCTCTGGGAAGCCTGAGAATTCTAAATCCAAACCCAATCTTCCAAGCCATTCTGAAGATATTGTTGTCAAGGTAGGAAGATAAATGCGGGTTTGTTAGCTTAATTTGTAACTTCTGAAGATTTAGACATGTGCTACAAGGGCCTCCATCTGTTCTCTTGCATGGAGCCCTGCTGTGTTACAGGCAGGCCTGGGTTCAAACCCCCACCCCACTCCCTGTCGCCTCCCCCCCGCCGCCCCCTGGCTATGTGAGCTGGGAAAGCCTCAGAATCTCTCTGGGTCTCAGTTTCCTCATCTGTAAACAGAGATTCTAACAGCATACTTTTCACAGGGTTGTTGCAAAGACTGAATGAATGAGTGCATACAAAGTGCCTAGAACAGCACCTGGTATCTAATAAACTCACCTCAAATGCTGTCTTTATATTATTCTCCAAACAAAACTGATTGCCAAGTGCAAACTTCTAGATAAGACCACAGCCAGGAAGTTATTCTAGATAAGGCCAGAGCCAGAGAGTGTATTTCCTCTTTCCTACTCTTTTCTAATTTAAAATATCATGCTTTGGGCCACTCCAAAAGATCGTTATTTTCTACTCTCTAAAGGACAAGTCCTCTAACTGCTGAAATGCCTGATAAAAGTTCTTCTGAGATTAAATACGTGCCCATACGCCCCATCCCCCCGGCTTGGCCGTTAGCCCAGGCCTCTGACCAATCTGAAGGCTGGCAATTCGGCTGTCTGTGTCAATTTCATGTGGTTAAATATTTGAAAAAACTACCAACTTGAAGTGTTAAAAAAGGGGAGGGCCTATTTTAATCTTCATATTCCTGAGATTTAGAGCGGCAAGCCAGGGCAGGCCCTTCTCGAGTCACACGTGACAGGCTGAAGTACCTGACGCTATCAGCAAGCAGCGCCTACCAGACCAGAGACCCTAATCCAAAAGGAGAGCCCGACAGTGGGCACCGCGACGGAGGAAGACAGTCCTTTATAAGGCGCCGGATGAGTCCACACGCTTTCGATGATTAAAACGGTGTGCCGTCAGCATTGCAGGAATTCCAAATCGGCAACAACCTTTTCACGGATTTACGTTCCTCTGGTCTAACATGACAGAACAAACAACTAGAAAAGAAATCCTTGCCCCATTTTAATGACGGGCGGGCATATGGGGTGGCACCTTCAACCATTTCACCACGAAACCTATCTTTCAAATCAAAGCTGCTTGCTATCCATTGTTGGTCTAAAATGGGAGAAGAGTGCAAAGAAAACATTCAAGGTCATATTCGCCCTTTTAGAAATATACCTACATGCTCGGTACAGTAAACAATCAAGTGACCATTTTTTTCCCCAATTATTCTGAAGAATTTTTTGAATACATGAATTGCCAACCTACTGAGAGGCTGGAACTCTTTCTGGTTTCCCAAGCTCCTTCTAATTAGTCTCTCAGAGCAGAAACACTGCTAAAGCATTGTTAATTTCAACAACAGTGTTTCTGTTACCTCCAGCCTTCTCCAAATTCAAAATGGAGTATAAAGGCCAGTGTGAAATGAGAATTAATTGGGTTCTACAGAGGCAAGACAGAGCGCACCCACCCATCCAACAGTCCTCCCAACTAAATCGCATAGATTGTTTCTTTGGAGAGCTCTGCCAACTTCCTATTTTTAAAAAAGCCATAAACCCTTCGGATGTGGGCCAATTTTTATTTATACAATTAAAGTGGCTTTTTATAAGAGCTGGGCCGGAGAAACAATATATTTTTACAAGCCGATTAGTCATATAGTCAGGCTTCATTATATCATAACCATTCATCAGGAGCTCATAATGAGAATCTTGTTTCCTCGTGTGATGAGAATGTTAAGGAAGATAGGTACTTATGATAGGCCATAAAATGTGTGAGAAACAGAATACCCCAACCCAGTGGAAACACCAGGGAGTTCATCTGGCCTTCATTCGTGCTGAAAGCGTGCACAGCTTCGGACACAAGCCTCGCTTTAACTTAGAAGACTCTCCTAAATTATTAGTCCTCTCCATTCCTCCACCCTCTCCAAACTCCACTCCCTTAAGAGAAGTGGAATGTTTCATTTAAAATTACTGTTATTAAAGACTTGAATGGGAGCTCATGTTGGCTTTGGCCATTTCTCTAGCCTACCTTTGTTACAATTTATTCTAAATATTCCTCCTGTCAGTCAGAGGGGTGTATATAACCTGAGCCCCTGAACCGCAGGCGGTCACAGTGTCCTGACCATCCGCTGAGCTACCTTCCTTCCACCCAGGCACCCTTCAAGGCTGCCCACGGCTTTCATTCCGCACCTATCAACAGGAGTAACCAATGTGTGCAGCTTTGGTAAACGAGAGGACGAATTACGGGGACACGCTTTGGGGCTGGCTGGAAAAGGGAAAGCGTTAGTCTGGTGACTTTGATGTAGAATGTCGGGAACAGAGGGGGCCTCTGAGATCCCCAGAGCCTCTCCTTTCTGTTCAGCAGCATTCAGGTCCCTTCGCTGTTCCCTCTCCCCCCAAATCGCGGCCACCAGGATCCCAGGAGCAAGTACTGGTATTGCGTTCCCCGCGTGGCCGTGGGGTTAGGCGCAGCTGGGGTAAGCCCCTCTTCTTTTAGCAAGCAGCTGGAGCCTAGAAGCCCCCGGGGGCTCGAGAAATGCCATGCGCTTAGCAAGACCTAACCCCACACCGTCACCCACAGCCATCAAGGGAGCCTACAGCTCTTCGGGCACCCGGCAGCTGAACCCAGACAGGGGAGTCCCAATCGCTGCGCCCCGGGGCCAGCGGGCACCTTGGAACGAGGACGCGCCGCGCCTGGCTCCCAAGCTGGTGCCCACCGGGAGCTGGAGCCCTGGAGAATTCCTGTGTGGGCACATCGGCTGGGGGAGGCCCCCGACCCTCCAGGCCCCGCGTGCAGGTACCTCGCAGCCGTACAGCTGTCCCAGCTGCTCCACGATCCACTCCTCCAGCACAAGCCGCTTCCGAAGCTCCTTGCGATCGTATTTCACTGTCACTTTTCCTTGCTGGTGGCGACGCTGCTGCTGCTGAACCTGCCCGGCAGCGGCCGCGGTGGCCACGGGCGCCGAGTCCTCCCGAGAGGAGCCCGAGCCGCTGTTCGCGCCGGGGCTGCCACCGGCGCCGCCCCGGGGGCTCTGGAAGAAAACCCGCGCGCCCCCGCCGCCGCCGCCGCCGCCAGCCCCGCCGGCCGCCTCGCTGCTGCCCGTCGCCACCGACATGTCCCCGCCGCCGGAGCCCGAGTGCGGCCGGGAGGAGGGGCAGGCGAAGCGCGCCCGGCGCCGCTACCACCTCCGGCCGGGCAACGGCATGCGAGGGGCTCGCCGCACCTGCTCCGCGCGCCGCGCACGCCCGGCCGCCCGGCTCTCGAGAGGTCGAAGGAGCCGCGGCGACACGAGGAGGGCGGGGAGGAGTGAGAGGCGGGGACCGCAGCCTTAAAGACGCCGCCGAGGACCCTCTCGGTCCAGCCGGGGAGGCGGATCTGGCGCCTGGCCCGGCAGGGGGCCCGCGGCGTGGGAGTTGCGCGCGGAGGCGGAATGTGTGCGCGGTCGCGGCTGCGGTTGCGTGGACACCGGAGAAGACCGGCGCGAGTCGGGTGCCGGGGATGGTCCTCTGCGCGGGTGGCCGTGTCCTCTTCTCCCGGCGACGGGGGATTGCGCTTCCGTCCGCAGTCCCAGAGCGCACGAAACCCGCCTCCGCCCGCGGCCTCGGTCCGGCTCTGCCCTGGGCAGGGGACCCCTGGGACGCGGACAAGGAAAGGAACCACGCCGCACGTTCCTCCCAAGGGTTTCCTTCTTTCTACCGCCTCCTCCAAGGGCGGGGAAGCGTGTCCTCCGCTCCGGGCCCCACCCAACTGCTACACACACTCATTCCTATTCATGCTCCTTCCTCTCTCCGACTGTGAAAAAATTGAAGAGGCGAGGTTTGTGCCATCAGGTAACCGCTGTGCCCGAGAACTTCTCTTCAGACCACCTTTTCGCTCCTTACAAACTGCTTGTTCATAGAGCATTAGGATATCTGTGTGTCTAAAGGGCAGAAGGCTTGATGGTCCCTTGGACTAAGGGGCTGGGGACATCCAGACAGCAAGCGTTTCCTGAAGAGTCAGGGCCGGGGTACTGATCTCACATGTCTTCCTGGTATTGCATCGCCAGCTTGCCTCTCTCAACGCCACTTCCAAACAACCTCTGTTTACCTGGGAAAGCGCTGCAGGACAAACTACTTTAAAAACATCACGCAGCCGACCGGGGTTAGGAATGAATGAGCTTATTATACGGTCGAGGGCAAAGAGATGGGGAGGGAAATTATAAACTGAAAACCGCGTGTGTGTGCATGTAAAAAACTATAGGGAGACACTGATATATTTCTGTTATACATAACATTGCATTTTTGTTTAGGCAACAGAAAGAAACCCCAATGATGCTCACACACGGTGAAGAGGTTTTATGAGTGTTTTTTAATGCTCGTGAAGGTTCCTGGCAGGTACACCAAGTTTCTCAGAGATGAGATAAATAACTGAGTCACCTTCCTCTCCACACTTCCTACGGTGAGGATTCTGTGTGAGCGTCTAGAACAACAGCAATGAAGGCCTGGAAAATGAAAAGGAAGTACCCAGCAACGTTCTCCTGGCTCTCCTGGCTTCCACTCAATGGTGGCCAGGTCTGCTCCTCACAGGTCTGTGATCAGCTCTGCTCCTCCCCTTTGGGGTCTTCCAGCAAGAGCTGGAGTAGGGATTTTCCCACATTACCCCAGGTCCGAAACTTGTCATCAAAACAAGTCGGGCCTTGAATAGTGAAAGGAAAGGAGCCCGTGAGAATTGTGTGGGATAGGGTGGCTGGTGTGGGTCCTGGAACCCTGTCATAAATAGAGGGGGTCAAGGCTAAAGGAGGTCTCTGCCCCATGGAAGAGGTCAGCTGTCCCTCGGCGGGTGGCTTTCCCGCCCAACCTTTCCTGGACAAGGGAGATGGAACCAGTGTGATTGGGCCCTAAAGATGGGTGACGACTCTCCCTGGCACCTCTGCCCCCAACCTGCCTTGGGGCAGCTAGGTCACTTTAACCCTGGAACACACAGCCAAGAGGGCGAGTGCCTCGGCAAAGGGGGACTCTGTGGGCCAGGAGGAGGAAGGGGAAGAGGAGGAGGAGGAGCTGCAGAGATGAATAGTAGCCTCCCCACACAGACAGCTGGCACATATCCAAGCTAGCCAGAACCAGCTTTAACCAGCTGGGCAGGAGAATGTCAACCAAAACAAAAAAGGCTAAAATTGTAGTTAATAGAAGAGAAACTATACGAAATCCCTGCCTCCTTCTGGCTCTGGGACCTGGCTTCAGCGATTACTTTGAAAACTGTGCCTGTGATCCAGGAGTAGGGTAAAGAGTGGGGAATTCCAGCTCCTCCTTTGAGTCTTTGGACAATGAATTCAGTCATTCAAGAGAAACTTCAAAGAACTTGTAAAAATTCACTAAGTTCACCCTGACTGGTATGGCCCTGTTGGTTGGGCATTGTTCTGCAAAGTGAAAGGTCACTGGTTCAATTCCCAGTCAGGGCACATGCCTGAGTCGTGGGTTCTGTGTCCGGCTGAGGCATGCACAAGAGGCAACCAATGGACGTTTCCCTCCCTCTCTTTCTCCTTCTCCCTCTAGATACAAATAAAAGAGGAAAACAAAATTAAACTTTAAAAAATTCACTAAGTTCTATCTGAGAAATTCTTGTGTTATTTTTTCCTCACTGTATCGCACAATTTTTCCTTCACACTTAAAACTCAGCTTTCACATATGACTACAAAAATGACAGGTACTAAGAGACATTAAGAAGAAATTTGGGGTTTTAGGCATGTTAACATATGGAAAAATAGCCAGGGAAGGTTCAGTCTCTCCTCGGATACCTCGATCTTCAAATGCCCAAACGAATCACCTTGCTGTGCAACCAGGAGTTGAACTAACATGAGATCCCTCTTCCTGTTAGTCCACGTGCTCTGTCCTGGACACAGTTTATTTTGGGAGCGGACTCTATAGTCCACACACAGACACACATACTTAACCCCACGTTTCAAAGTATTGGGGGATAGGGAATTATTCTCAGGTTAGAGACCCCCATAGGCGACAGTTTAAATTCAGAAAGGCCAGCAATATTTCTCACCTACAAGATAGATGTAGATATAGAAATATTTGTTCAAGGCACATATTTTTATTTCTAATCCATATAGGCAGGTTTTTAAAAAATGCTAGTTCATCAAAAGCAGTGAATAGGTTTTAGTGAATTGAATGGCCTGAAAATATTCTAGAACACAAGGGATGAGTTTTTACCTTAAGACAGTTACCAACTCCCTCCCCCCCCCCCACACACACACTTCATGTGAGCATAGCCGAAGGAAACTTCGTTCACCAATATCCTTTCTGCATAGCTTTGTGTTTTCTTAACTGAACATTTTTACTTGCTTTCTCTTTGGGGAAAGTTTATTTTAGAAATCGTATAGGTCCTTTGCCTCTGAAAATGATCTTACGCCCAAAGCTTGTTAGACAAGGCGACTTAATCAGGGGTCCCAGGGCTTTCCTCACTTCCCAGAGAAACAAGGATTAACTCCAAATGTTTATACTCAGATGCAAATATCTCTACTCCTCCAACACTAGGTGTTGCAATAATGATGCAACACCTGGTTATCTGCCTTGAGACTGTGGTAAGTACGGCCTCAAGGCCCACCAGCCTCAGCCTGGAATGCTTACCCTGGGTAAGAGGTGTAGGTGATAAGGTGCCTATCTCCAGATTCTCTCAAAGAATCAATAAAGCAAAAGGACAAATCAAAGGTAATTTTAAATCTGGTTTTCCTCCTAAAAGTAGGAGAGACTTAATCCATCCTTTGGGGTTGTATGCATTACCCAGAACACTTTCAGTTTTCAGAATCCGGTCCATTATTTCAATACTCTTTATGGAGTTATAGCAGCAATGTTGTTAACAATGTATCCAGGTAGTTTTCCTTTTGGCTACTGTTTCATCCTCTGTTTTTTTTCTTCCTCCTCCTAATTCTGAACCTTTGATTGTATTGTGCGCTACAATTTGAAATCACACTTCCAAAATCAATTTAGCCATTACTTGTATACATAACCAAAGCAACAGCCATCATTGTCACAGTTGTAAAATTTTGTCTCAGCAATTAACAGAAACGTTCCCCTGACTGTTCAGAACTAATGAGAAGAAGTGGTGGTGGGGGGATACATAGTGTCATCTCATTCCTTTTAACAAAGATTAAGTATCCCTGGGCCTTCCCCGACACCTAGCTTATGGAATATTGTCTGTTTCTGCAGACTAGGGTCAAATTGCTTCTAGAGGACAGTTAGCCCTGTCTAACCAGTAGCCTCTTGCTCTCCCCCTTCACTGCCGCAGGTTTTGGAGGAGTTGCCCCCTGCCCCATGCCTCTGTCTCTCCCTCTTACCAACTTGGCCTTCTGAATCCAATGACCATCACTAGACTGAAGGCACCAACCAAGGTCACCATCAAGCTCCACGTTGCTCAACTCATGTGCACTTTTCCTCTCTTATCCAACTTGACCTCCTGCCACCTTTGACCACCTTGAGCCTCCCCCTGCTCCTCAGATCTCTCCTCTCTGGGTTCTCATGCCAACACCCTCCTGGTTTGCCTCTCGCCTCTTGTCTCCTATTGCAGCGGGTTGTGCAAGCTCCTTTCCTACCTCCCTGCCTTAGAGGTCAGAGGTTCCCCCAGTTTTCGTTCTTGGCTCATTCACAGGCTCCCCAGGTCATTTTCTCTCCCGCTGAAGCTTCCGTTTTGACCACCTACCACTGTCTACCTACCACAAACTCCCCAAATCAAAGCGGATTTCCGGTCTGAGCTCCCGATCTACAGGTAGACTGCCTTTAGTGCCAATGTATTTGAAATTCACAGTGTAATTCAATGTAGTTCAAGTACACAAATATACAACTTCATCAATTCATTAGAGAGTAAAATAGTAGAGCAAATATATTTTTGGCCATGGATGGTCAGCACATAAAGGATACTCTAGCTTAGTATCTTTTAAACTTTTTTTTTTTACCACAAGCCACAGTAAGAAATACATTTTATGTCATGACCCAAATATATATCCACACACAAAATTTACCCATATTACATGTGACACACCCTGACACATCCTATCCTATTCTATTGTGTTTCGTTTCTTTTAAGGACCACTGCTCCCAATCTGCTAAATTGATTTCCCAACCACTAAAGGGTTGCGA